TCAGAGGCGCGCAGTGTAGGGAGGTCGGGGAGGAACGGAAGAGGCCCCGGGAAATTAGCTTCCCCACGTTGGGTTGGGCTGCCCTCTCGGGCAGGGGAGGCTTTGTAAAATAATTCGCTTTACCTTCGAAAGCAAAGGGAAGACGGGAGCGCCTGAAGCCAAGTGTCTCCTCAGGGCTCCGGTTGCAGGGAGGAGCCCTGACTGGCCGCACGTGGCTGCGCCAAACGCGGCAGCAAGGGAGAAGGGAAAGCAACGGTGGCCCGAACCCGAAGGTCTCCCGAATATCCAAGCCGTCGCCGCCCGCCCACCCACCCGAGGATGCAAGGTTAATTAAGTCACCCCCGGAAAGACATCCTAGCCGTTTTTTCGGGGGTCAAAAAAAAATAAGGCCTGGCCTTATTTGCCGGCGTATAAGACGACCCGGCGTATAAGACGACCCCCCCAGTTGGAGGCATGTTTTTTAGGGCAAAAAAGTCATCTTATACGCCGGCAAATACGGTAGTAACTACAGGAGAAAATTTGTTTAATGAGAAAAGAAAATATGAAATTGAAACAGGACAGACAAAAGTATAAATATAATGATTTGAATTGATATGAGATAATTAAAGAAAATGTAAAACAGTAATAAGATATGGAATAGAACATAAAAGTGAGCATGAAATTGAGTTTGTGTCTGTATGAAGAAGTGTAACCCGGGACCATGCTATTTTCAAAAAAAAGACACTCCACCTAGCTCAGAGCCCAAAAATACATCAGCCTGCAGAACAATAGCTATTTTATCAGACAGGAGGAAATAAAAGAATAAATAGGAAGCAATGCAATAGCTTCAGTCTGCTGAGGAATCAACTAAATCAGACTATCCCCCTTCTTGAACTTTTGATTACTTAAGTATTAAACTTTTAGAACTGATGAAAACTCTGAAAATGTTTCCTCTTCCCTCATCCCTTTGTCTTTTCATATGATTTCTTTCAGAGTTAGATGTGTGAAAAAATATAGAGCTGGTCTTGGAGGTAGGGACAAAATGAGCCAGCAGTTAAGGGGTGTGGTGGGAATTACTAAAAGATTATTAAGTCCTGAGAAAGTGAGAAAGAAACTCAGTAGTATAAAATGTGACAGAGAGAAATTTGGATACTGGAAATAATTGATGAGACACAGACTTGAGGTATACAATATTTCAAATCTATAGGCTAATCCCCTCTGGCATCAGGCTTCAAAACTATCAGTTAAGAACAGCCATAAGAAGGTTAATTGAAAAATTACTCATTTGATAGTAATCATATGTAAAGTGTAACATTAATGTATCCTTGGCTTTCAAAAAGATGTCAATATGTCTAGCCACACATTTCAGCTGATTATCTAAACTTGGTATTTTATTAGTACAGAAATAGGCAAACTGGTGCCTGCCAGGCTCTCTGTTCCACCTGATTTTAATTTAAATATAGACGGATGGATAAATAGGAAGCTGACACACTTCAAAGCAAAGGGCAGTTTAGAGTGCCCTCTCCATTTATAGGAATGCTTCTCACGCTGGCTATGTACCCTGAAGAAAAACCAAATAAGCTGAGGTAATGAGGAATTAGAAGCCCCAGTACGCCTTTGTCACCATGACGATGCCAAGCCATACATTATGTCATAATGGAAGTTTCACCTATCTGTACACATTGCAACATCACATGCAAGCCATGTAAAGAACAGAACTTGATTTGTGATCATTTTGGTACTCTCTCCTGTCTCCATGTCCCATTGCTTGAGGCCTGTCATTTGAGATAAGGATGGAGAGCCAGGTCCCTTATTTTGCTAGCAAAGTGCTTAGTGATTGCCCAATGTGCATTTCGTGAACATGTAAGCTTCTCTGAAGGGGCCATTTTGTGACATGCTTTTGGAAATTTAAATGTGGGCATCCAAAAAGTTACTTAGGAAGAAGGAACTAAACACCTGTGTTAACAAGTAACAGTCTTAAAGATCATCAAATCATTTTTCCTATTTTGTTTCTGCTGAAGAAAGGATATTACTGTTTGGTGTTGTTTTTCTGTGTTTGTCATGTTTGTTTTTCTTGATTTTCTCATTTGTAATGTGCCCTGATATCCACTGGGATAGTGTGGACTGCAAATAATAAATACATAAATATATAACATTAAATGGATATCCCAGTCAAAATAATTACCAACTATGCATCCTCCTACAGAATGTTTAATAATCCTTAAAACATGGTTTATTGCCCCCAGCCATGACTAAGAATGTGCCCTTCATAAACCAGTGTAACTCACCACAGATGGCCCAATCTCTTGTTAACCTTTATCATTTCAGCAAAACTTTCAGCTGCTTCATCATCCAACTCATTTTTTGTTAGCCTAGTCAAGAACACAAAAGGTTTTCAGTCATGTGAATGAATGATATTTGAGCAGTTTAAAATATTACTATTCTTGTTTTAGTTGCTAATTTTGATTTTATTATCAAAAATCCTGGGCAAGCCAGAATGGATAAAAAGAAAACTCTTTTCAATCCAATCTGTCCGCCTGCCAAGCACTATGCAATTTCTATTGTGCATGACTGCATTGTATTATAGCCTCTGAGTGCATAACTAGATGACAGTTTCATTTTGTTCACTATTTGGTTGAGAAAGTAAGAGGTCACTCAGACCAGAGAACCAACCTACTCCCTCCTTATTCAAAGCCATTTCTGTGTCCTGAAAACTTTTTGTTTTTGTCACAACTATGTAAATCACCCAAAGAAGTTTAGGGAAATGCCTGGGGTAAAAATGGGAATAAAGGGGTCTGAGAAACATTAGTAAACATTAGCAAGTCCAGTTAGCTTTCCCTCAATTACCCTGTAGATATATTCCAATGATGTGATGTGGCATTCCCAGGAGAGTACTTTTTCCCCCAGAAATTCCAGAAAAGCATTACAAATGCAGTATAACTGAGGGTCTTATTAGCAGTCTTAAACCGTGATCCTATTTCTATCCATAAAAGAGACCAGAAAAAAGAAAAAAAACATCTAAATGCAGAGACCACTTTCAATTATTCTTGGGATGTGAATATTGAGAACATATAAGACCAGTAACAAAAAAAAATTTGCACTATATTTTTCACTTCAAAAACAATCCTCCCTTGAAGTTCTAGCCAGCTGACCATCCTGACAGGACTCTCTTCTGCCTCTCCTCACGATTCTACTCTTGCTTTCGTTTCTGACGGATCCTCAATACATTATTATTGACACATTATTCAGATGAATCAGGATCAGGATCTATGTACCCACCTATAGTACCTAATGATGGCAGCTATACCAAGGAAAAATACATTATATCTCAATTCTATTCATTCCTTATTCACATTGTTCAAGCCAATAGCACTTGTTTCCCAGAGTTTTGCAACAGATTCTGGGCACTATATATCGCCAACATTTGGATCTCAGGGATCACCAAACTCATAATTTTAAATCCTGGAGACCACTAATATAAATTTTGACTGATGGTGGCTTGCTGACGTTGGTGGGAGAGAGACAGAGAACCCCCCCCCTTCTCTCTCTCACACACACAGACAGGGGTGGGATTCAAATTCCTTAACAACCGGTTTTGTGGGCATGGCCTAATTTGTGGGCATGGCCTGGTGGTCATGTGACTGGCTGGGCATGGCTTATATGTAAATATTATAAATATTTATGTGAATATTGAATTTTGTTATAAAAAAGAACAACTCTTATCCAAAAGCAGGGAAAGCAGGCAAGCAGATTGAGTTGCTCACAGAATCACAGATTCACTCAGAGATCTATCTTTCTGCCATCAGCTACCTGAGTCTGTCACATAAAATTTGCTTGCAAGCAAACTCACAAAATTAACTCACAACACACCATGTATATAAATATTGATTTTTTTTAATAAAAAGAGCAACTTTTATCCAAAATCAAGCGAAGTAGGCAGGTAGATTGAATTGCTCACAGAATCACATATTCACTCAGAGATCTACCTTTCTGCCATCGGCTATCTGAGTCTGCACTGAATTATAGAAGCTTCAGTCCTAAGGAAAGTTCAGCTCTGCTTAAAAGCAGAGCCAAGGATCTAAAGATTAGCTAGAAAGCAAGAAATCCAATGGTTTTCTACTTTCTAGATAATCTAAATCTGGCACAGCAGAACAGCTGATGGTCGGGGTGGGGAGGGAAAGGAAAAATAGCAACTTAGCAGGCAAGTTTGCCAGGTAAGGAGTGAGTGGGCGGGAAGGATTCCTGCAGGCCATGTGGGCGGTGCAGCTTTCTGTTCCCACGCAGCCTGGATTTGGGGGGTGCTCTAGGGGTGACATTTCTCTGCGGCCCACCAAAATTTTCTCATGGCCCACTGGTTGGTGACCACAGATTTAGAATATCTTTAAATGCCATCTGTCCATTTTGTTAGTGCCAGGACTGGCTGTTCTAGAGATAACTGGTTTATTTAGTGGTCACAATCAGCTATGCAATGTTAGAACTCCAACACAATAAAAGAGGGGAATGGTCTGTTTTTTATTTAATTACTAAAGTATATCAGACTTAAGTCTTTCATATTTCTGCTCCCCAGATGAGAAGAATATCGTAAACAGAACTAATGTGCCAACTTCATCCAGACCAGAGTATAACTGCCAGTAATCTCAGACAACTCAGACTTGAAGAATTTCAATCCTACCACAATACTATAATCTAACACCCAACTATGGTCTTCCAATATATGCAGCATCTCAAGAATACAGTACAGTACAGCATGATATAGTAGAAGACAGTACTTCAGATTGTTTCCACAACCTATTAACAAAAGTTAATGGATCTTATATAGAAGTAGGCAAGAAAACCTTATGGATCATAACTCCCTCAGTTTGCTGTTGGTCATATTGGCTCAGGACTGATCTGAGTGAAATAAAAACCATCTACTGGTAGCAATCAGAAATTGTTCTCTTTCAGTTTAGGTGCACAACTGAAATAATTTGGCATAATAAAAAGTATCAATTATTTTAAGATATTTTATACTAACTGCTTCAATGATACTTTTTGCAGAGGATGCTTCTATCTGCCCCAGGTTACTAGGATTTTTTTCCTTAAAAAAAATCCTGTTTCTTTTATTGTCATTTTTAAAGATCCCACCAACTTTTACTTCATGCATGTTTGCTTGTTTTGAGAAGCCTGATAGCAGATAACAGAGTTGGAAGGGACCTTGTAGGTCATCTAGTCCAACCCCCTGCCCAAGCAGGAGACACTACACCATTTCTGACAAATGGGAATCCAATCTCTTCTTCAAAGTCTCAAGTGATGACACTCCCACAACTTCCGAGGGCAATTGGTTGATTGTTCTCACTGTCAGAAAGTTTCTCCTTATTTCCAGGTTAAATCTCTCCTTGTTCGGTTTCCATCCATTATTCCTTGTCTGGCCTTCGGGTACTTTAGAAAATAGCTTGTGGCAGCCCCTCAAATATTGGAACACTGCTATCATGTCTCCTCTGATCCTTCTATTCACTAGACTAGCCACGCCCAGTTCCTGTAACCGTTCTTCATATGTTTTAGTCTCCAGTCCCCTAATCATCCTGGTTGCTCTTCTCTGTACTTTTTCTAGAGTCTCAACATCTTTTTTTATAGTGTGGTGACCAAAACTGGATGCAGTACTCTAGGTATGGTCTTACTAAGGCTTTATAGAGTGGTATTAGTACTTCACTTGATCTTCATTGTATCCCTGTTAATGCAACTTAGGATTGCATTAGCTTTTTTGGCTGCTGCTGCACACTGCTGGCTCATATTTAGTTGGTTGTCCACTAAGACCAGGGGTGGGATTCAAATTTTTTAACAACTGATTCTGTGGATATGACTAGGTGGGTGTGTGACTGGATGGGTGTGGCTTTTTTGCAGCACCCGCCCCCTTTTGTTGGGCCTTCTAGGCCTCGGGGAAACCTCCTGGGGGGCATTGTTGCTCCCAGAAGGCTTTCCTTAGGCTCAGGTAGAAAAAAAATGGAGCCTGGAGGGGGCATACAGCACCACCCATGCTCCATTTTGGGGCCTTCTGGACCTCAGGAAAGCCTCCTGGGAGGGGCATTTTTGCTTCCAGGAAGCATCCCTGAGGTCCAGGAAGGCAAAAATGAAGTGTGGGTGGGGTTAAGTATATTATGTCCACAGTATCTCGCTGGTCTACTAATTGAACCACTATGTTGAACAATGAAATAAGATTGGTTTGGCATTATCTGTTTTTATCAATTCCGTGCTGACTGCTAGTTATTATTTTACTTGTTTCTAGATCAGGGGTCGCCAAACTTTTGGACCTCAGGGACCACCAAAATCATACTTTTAAATCCCAGGGACCACTAATATGAATTTTTAAAAAAAGATAATATATTTAATATAATTTTTAATATTAAATATAAATTTAATATTAAAAATTAATTTTAATATAAAATATATAAATATATAATTTTTTTTAAATAAAAATGTTTATTTAATTATAACAAAATAATAAATGCTTAATCATAACTGTGAGGCAAAGCGAAGGAAAGGAGGGGCCTCTCTCATCCTTTGGGGGGGGGAAAGGGAGGATTTAATACTGCTGGGATTCAAAAGAAGCCACATGGTGGAACTTCCGGTTTGTCGGCTTCGCGAGCGGCAGGGATTTGCGAAGCTGC